TCACCTCAGCCTCCCAAAGGCACGGGATTACAGGCTGAGCCACCGAGCCCGGCTTGAACCTCCTTTCTTAGTCTCCCAAGTAGCTGGAATTACAAGTGTGCACCACCTCGCCTGGCTGGTTTTTATTATTTTAAACATCAGACTCAGTTGTGGGAGCATCTCCTCCAAAAAGCCCAACCTGATTGTTCCAGGCTCAGTTAGGCTGTCCTCTGGGGAATGGGAAGTGGAGGTGAGAGGATTGCCTGAGCCCACAGGTTCAAGACCAGCCTGGGCAACTTGGCAAGACCTCATCTCTAGAATAAATCAAACAAACAGAACTTAGTCCGGCATGATGGCGCCTGTAGTTCTGGCTACTTGGGAGGTGGAGGCAGAAGGATCGCCTGAGCCTGGTGGATTGAAGCTGCATTGGCCATGAGCATACCACTGCACTCCAGCCTGGGAGACAGGGTGAGACTACAACTCAAGAAAGAAAGAAAAAAAGAGCATCCCATGAATCATTTTGTTTGACTCTTCTCTCCCATCCAGATGTGCAAGTGGATCACTTGAATCTCCTAAAGCAGTTTGAACACCTGGACCCCCAGAATCAGCACACATTCGAGGCACGCGACCTAGAGCTGCTGATCCAGACGGTAAAGGGGCAGGGTCTCAAGGCAGAGGGTTGAGGGATGGTTTGCAGACTGGGAGAAGGAATCGGATCCTGAACACGAACAGGCTCACCCCCGCCCGGCAGTGTTCTGCAGCTGGAGGCTGGCCAAGGGCTGGGTGGTTTCTAAATGCCCTCCCCAGATTCTCTCCAGGACGGGGGAGGCGCACAGGCACCTGGGGCAAGAGCCATCCCCTCTGTGTCCTCTAGGTGGGCTGAATAATGGCCCCCAAAGATGTCCATATCATCATTCCAAAACCTGTGAATATGTTTCTTGACACAGTAAAAGCGACTGTGCAAGATATCATTACATTAAGGATCCAGGCTGGGCGCAGTGGCTCACGCCTGTAATCACAGCAGTTTTGGGAGGCCAAGGTGGGAGGATCACTTGAGCTCAGGAGTTCGAGATCAGCCTGGGCAACTTAGCAAGATCTTGTCTCTACAGTAAATCCAAAAATTAGCCGTGCATAGTGACCTGTACCTATAGTCCTAGCTACTCAGGAGGCTGAGGCGGAAGAATCGCCTGATCTCAGGAGGTTGAGGTTGCGGCAGCCATGAGCGTACAACTGCCCTCCATCCTGGGCAACAGAGTGAGCCTCCGGCTCAAAAAAATAAATAAATAAAATAAAAATAAATTATGGGTCTTGAAAGGGGCAGGTTATCCCAGATTATCCAGATGGGCCCTAAATGTAATCCCCAGGGTCCTCATAAAAGGGAGGCAGGGGAGATTTGATTCTAGAAATAGAAGGTCACATGACAGCTTGATGCCAGACTGCTAGCTTTGAGGGTGGGGGCAGGAACCAGGAGCCACAGACTTCAGTTGTGGGAGCTGGAGAGGATGAGGATAGGGATTCTCCCCTGGAGATTCATTTCAGCCATCTGTGTCACTGTAAGTCATTACATTTCTGGTAATTTGCTACATTGGCAATAGAAACTGATACCGTCTGCATCTGGAAAGTGGGTTTAGTGGCCTCGTCCTGTGGGGAAGGCCAGGGGTAGGGCTGGGGCGTGGAAGGAGAGGCTCCGACTGGCCCCCGCCGCTTCCCTGCTCATAGCCCTTCCATAGCTGCCCAGCACCCCCAAGACAGGTCCACCCCCCAGCCTGGCCTGGAGGCCCTACCTGGCCCAGGCCCCACTCTTCTGCCCAGCACCCCCTGCTGGAGCGCCATCTGGTGGCCATGAAGATAATAGCAGCAACCTTTTCATTGAGTACAAACCAGGTGCTGGGCTCAGTCCCTGACTGATGTTTTTGCAGCTTTGTAGAACATTCCAGAAACTGTCTATCTCCTCCAGCCCCCATCATCTCTCACAGGCACTTCCTTGGTGGGACCCCTGTGTCTGCCTCCACCTTCAATGGCAGGGTCTCTCCACCCTGCACTGTTGACACTCGGGGCCGGATAGTTCTTTGTCATGGGCTGTCTTTGCAGCATCCCTGGCCTCCACCTGCTAGATGCCTGTAGGCCTGTCCCAGTTATGACCAGCAAAAATGACACTGACAGCCAGACACAGTGGCTTATGCCTGTAATCCCAGCACTTTGGGAGGCTGAGGAAGGAGGAATGCTTGAGCCCAGGAGTTTGAGACCGGCCTGGGCAGCATGGTCAGATCTTGTCTCTTTTATTTTTTTATTTTTTGAGTTGGAGTCTCACTCTGTCGCCCAGACTGGAGTGCAGTGGCACACTCCCGGCCACCGCAGCCTTGACCTGGTGGGCTCTGGCGATCCTTCTGCTTCAGCCTTCCAAGTAGCTGGAACTACAGGCGTGCGCTACCACGCCCGGCTAGTTTTTGATTATATATAGAGACGAGGTCTCACCAAGTTGCCTGGGCGGGTCTCGAACCCGCGGGCTCAGGCAATCCGCTCACCTCAGCCTCCCAAAGGGGTGGCATTACAGGCTGAGCCACCGAGCCCGGCTAGATCTTGTCACTTTTAAACAAAACCTTTGGGCCGGGCATAGTGGCTCACACCTGTAATCCCAGAACTTTGGGAGGCCAAGGCAAGAGGATTGCCTGAGTCCACGGGTTTGAGACCAGCCTGGGCAACTTGGTGAGACCTAGTCTCTACAATAAATCAAAAAATTAGCTGGGCATGGTGGTGCACTCCTGTAGTTCCAGCTACTTGGAAGGCTGAGGTGGAAGGATTGCCTGAGCTCAGCAGGTCGAGGCTGCAGTGGCCATGAGTGTGCCACTATACTCCAGCCTGGGCAACAGAGTGAGACTCTGACTCAAAAAATAAAAATAAAAAAACTTTAAATTTTCCAGGCATAGTGGCACACATCTATCCTCCCAGCTACTTGGGAGGCTGAGATGGCAGGATCACCTGAACCCAAGTGGTCAAGGCTGTAGTGAGCCGTGATCATGCCACACTGCACTCCAGCCCGGGTGACAGAGCAAGACCCTGATTCAAAAATAAAAACAGAGCCGGGCTCGGTGGCTCAGCCTGTAATCCTGCGCATTTGGGAGGCTGATGTGAGTGGATTGCCTGAGCCCGCGGGTTCGAGACCCGCCTGGGCAGGGAGACCTCATCTCTATAATAAGTAAAAAAATCAGCCGGGCGTGGTAGCACATGCCTGTAATTCCGGCTACTCGGAAGGCTGAGGCAGAAGGATCGCTGGAGCCCAGCAGGTCGACACTGCGGTGGCCGGGAGCGGCCACTGCACTCCAGTCTGGGCGACAGAGTGAGACTCCAACTCAAAAAAATAAAAAAATAAAAAATAAAAACAGAGCTGGGCTCGGTGGCTCCGCCTGTAATCCCAGCACTTTGGGAGGCTGAGGCTGCTGTGGATTGCCTGAGCCTATGGGTTCGAGACCTGCCTGGGCAACTTGGCGAGACCTTATCTCTACAATAAAACAAAAATTAGCCGAGTGTGGTAGCACGCGCCTGTAGTTCCAGCTACTTGGAAGGCTGAGGCGGAAGGATTGCCGGAGCCCAGCAGGTCAAGGCTGCGGTGGCTGGGAGCGGTCACTGCACTCCAGGCTGGGCGACAGTGAGACTCCAACTCAAAAAAATAAAAATTAGCCAGACATGGTGGTGCATACCTGTAGTCCCCAGCCACTCAGGAGGCTGAGGCGGAAGGATTGCCTGAGCCCAGGAGGTCAAGGCTTCAGTGAGCCGTGACTGTGCCACTGCACTCCAGCCTGGGTGACAGAGTGAGACATCGACTCAAAAACAAACAAACAACAGAAATTGATCATCTCACAGTTCTGGAGGCTGGAAGTCCAAAATCAAGGTGTCAGCAGGGTTAGTTCCTTCTGGAGGCTCTGAGGGAGAATTGCTCCTTGGGCCTCTCCCCTGGCTTCGGGTGATGGCTGGCAGTCCTTGGTGTTGCGTGGACTCCTATTACTGCTTCTGTCATCACATAGCGTTTTTTCTGTGTGTCTGTCTGTCTCTTCTCTGCCTCCTTTTTTTTTTTTTTTTTGAGTTGGAATCTCACTCTGTCACCCAGGCTAGAGTGCAGTGGCACAACCATGGCCACCACAGCCTCGACCTGCTGGGCTCAGGTGATCCTTCCACCTCAGCCTTCCAAGTAGCTGGAACCACAGGCATACACCACCACGCCTGGCTAATTTTTTTATTTATTGTAGAGACGAGGTCTCACCATGTTGTCCAGGTTGCTCTCAGACCCCTGGACTCAGGCAATCCTCTCACCTCTGCCTCCCAAAGTGCTGTGACTACAGGCATTAGCCACCAAGTCAGGGTTTCTGCCTCCCTCTTACAGAGATCTCAGTCACTGGATTTAAGGCTCACCCTAATCAATAGGACATCATTTTAATTTAACTAGTTACAACTGCAAGCATTATTTCCAAATAAGGTCACATTCTGAGATTCCTGGTGATGTGAATTTGTGGGATGGTGGAGGGAGGGACACTATTCAACCTAGTATTGTTACCTCCATTTTACAGAGTGGAAATTGAGGTACAGAGAGACTGAGGAACTTGCCCAAGATCACACAACTAATGAGCTTTGGTCATGTAACAGAGCCTGGATTTGAACCCCTGGCAGAGTAATTAGAGGCCTGATGTTCTTGACCACCTAGCTGTGACTTAACTTTCCATGTTAAGTCCACCTCATGTGTTGTTCCTTATTTACTTAGTCCTCCAAAAGCTATAGATTGTGGAGAACTTGAAAGAGGTGGATTAATATTGCTATTGTTTTGTCTGGGTGGTTTTTTTTTTTGAGTCAGGGTCTTGCTCTGTTGCCCAGGCTAGAGTGTAGTGGCATGCTCATGGCCACCGCAGCCTCAACCTGCTGGGCTCAGGTGATCCTTCCACCTCAACCTTCCAAGTAGCTGGAACTACAGTTGCACACCACCACGCCTGGCTGATTTTTTGATTTACTGTAGAGACAAGATCTCGCCAAGTTGCCCAGGCTGGTCTCGAACCCCTAAGCTCAAGCAATCCTCCCACCTCGGCTTCCTAAGGTGCTGGGATTACAGGCCTTAGCTTAGGTGTCTGGCCTAAAAATTGCTATTGTATAACCTCATAATCTCTATTGAACAAAGAGAAGGTATGTCATGTGACTGGAACAATCAAGGAGACTGAACAAGTGAAATCAGGGCATGAGACTTCCTGCAGGTAGAGGCTGGGCCTGCCCCTGGTCAGATTCGGGACCAAGGACCTGCCATTTGGAGGCTGGAATTGGGCTGAGCACAGGGACAAGAGGAGAGAGACGAGTGACCTTCTGCCTTTCCCCAGGCCACCCGGGACCTCGCCCAGTATGACGCAGCCCACCATGAGGAGTTCAAACGCTATGAGATGCTCAAGGAACATGAGAGACGTCGTTACCTGGAATCTCTGGGAGAGGAGCAGCGAAAGGAGGCAGAGAGGAAGCTGGAGGAGCAGCAGCGCCGGCACCGAGAGCACCCCAAAGTCAATGTGCCTGTGAGGACCCCCCCATTTGTGCCATCCACTCCCTACCAAGTCTCCCCTCAAAGCCCAAGACAAGAAATTGCTTGAAGAAATACAACTCCCAGGAGCCCCTGAGGCAAAAAGTCCTTGTGGTGACTATGCCTGGCTGCCCCAGGGGCTGCTGGGAGTTGTAGTTTGGGGGCTCGGGGGGCATGCTGTTTGTTGGATGGGGGCGAAGTATTCTCTGGCTTGATCCCATGGCACCCATGGGCACTCATGAGCTCCTGGTTCTCCCCTTACAGGGCAGCCAAGCCCAGTTGAAGGAAGTGTGGGAGGAGCTGGATGGATTGGACCCCAACAGGTTTAACCCCAAGACCTTCTTCATACTACATGGTAAGGCAGGGAGGGAGCCCCAGACCCAGGCTGAGCCCTGAGGCTCTGACCTTTCTGGCAAGTTGAGTTTTCCCATCCCAGTGAGGCTCAGTCAGGTCTAAGAGACCGGGGTCCATCTTCCTTGGTTGACCAGAAGGCTCTGCCCTTCCCCGTTCCCAGGGTGAGGGTCTTCATGGAGGGGATGGCCCTCTTTTCCAGGATATGCAAGACTTCTGGATTTTAAGGACCAGCCAATGTCCACTAACCAAGCAAACCAGGCCTGGCTAGGCCTGGGCTCCCCTTCCACTGGGAGCCCTGGTCCCTACTGGAAGCCCTGTTGCTAAGGGTGGGCTATTCCCTAGTAACCAGGCCTCCAGAGCCCTGGAAAGCCCCTTCTCTGTGCTGGATCAGAGACACATTCCCCGGCGGTCCCTCTCTTCCCATCTGGGAACACAGCCTGGGTTTATCAGGCCCCCTCGGGTATGCCCAGGACCCAGACCCGGAATCTACAGCCTATCGGCAGAGCTTGGCAAAACCTAATTTGCTCATTCAGCAGATGGTACTAATCTCCTTTTAAGGACCAAGCTTTGTCAAGACCCTGTGGATATAGCCATGAACAAAACAAAGTACTACCTCTCAGAGCCAGTGATCAAGCAGATAGGTGGCACTGTGTTTTAGTGACTCCAAGACACAGTTGAGTGTGAAGTACTAGGATTTTACATAAGCTGCCAATTAAACTAGCACCATTGATGATAAGATGCATCCCTAGCCGGGCTCGGTGGCTCAGCCTGTAATCTCGCGCCTTTGGGAGGCTGAGGTGAGTGGATTGCCTGAGCCCGCGGGTTCGAGACCCGCCAGGGCAGTGAGACCTCATCTCTACAATAAATCAAAAAATCAGCCAGGCATGGTAGCGCATGCCTGTAATTCTGGCTACTGGGAAGGCTGAGGTGGAAGGATCGCCGGAGCCCAGTAGGTCGAGGCTGCGGTGGCCGGAAGCGGCTACTGCACTCCAGTCTGGGCAACAGAGTGAGACTCCAACTCAAAAAAAAGATGCATCCCTATTTCAGGGATGAAATACACAAGACAAAGAAAGTGCATCTTAGAGTCAGTGAAGAAGGTTCTATGATAAGGTCTCAGGTAGTGATATATACCACAGAACAGAAGACAGCAGGATTAACAAGCAGGGTTTTTTTTTTTCTTTTTTCTTTTTTTTTTTTTTGAGTTGGAATCTCAC